ATTTTTCAAATTTCCAGCAGTTCCTGCTTTACACAAAAAGGAAGGTCAAGTACTTATCTGGCAATTTCACCAACTCGAGATTTCGCAAAGCAATAAGAATCTTTATTGCTGTTGTATGTGGACAACAGGATAACGATGTTGGAATTGAATGTCACAACTATGATTCTACCGATTCCTGTTGTTTGGTTTTTAAAAGAAAAGTCTTAATACAAATCGGAACAGGAAGGCATATTTGTCAGTGCAAATTTCTCAGCAGGAAATTGGAGAGACATGCAGCTGAGGGAAGAATTTCTTTGATGTTTTTACAGCCCTTCTGGCCAGCCGACACAACCCTTAACCATTGGTGAGGGAAAGCTTGGGAATCTCAGACAATCCATCTTTCTACTGCGTTCACTACGACAGACAAATGGTAGAAAATCAGTACCACATCACCAGCGGCAGGAGGACTGAACAGCAGATGTTCCATTGTAAAAATGTAACAGCAGACGTTGTTGTTGTCACAAAACATGTTCCTAAATCATGACAGTAAGAAACTAGGTGCAGCAAACAACAATGCTCAAAAATTGAACATTTTCTGTCTGTATGTTTTGTTCTTATTCATTCATAGGATGTGGGTATCACTGGCTACACCAGCATTCATTACCCATTTCTAATTATCTATAGGGCAGTTAAGAATCAGCCACATTATTGTGAATCTGTAGGCCAGACCAAGTAACAATACGAGATTTCCTTCCCTACAGGATATTAGTGAATCAGATGGGTTTTTTTCAATAATTGACAGTGGTTACATGGATTAATAGTGCAGTGAAATACTACATACAATACAATATTTACATATTACTTGTAGAACGGGCTGTTTGGTATAATACAGAAATATATAACATTGTACATTACAATTCACTATGTAGCCTATTTGATGATCTTTTATCAAAGTGTTTTGAAGAGAAAAATATTGAAATGGGGAGTTTATCACTGGCATGGTATTTTGTATGCTATTGAAATATTGCAAACAATGAGCAATGCACACATTTGCTTCATATTGATCAAAAACAGAAGTTGCTGGAAAAGCTTAGCAGGTTCTGGCAGCATCTGTGAAGAACAAATCAGTGTTAATATTTCGGGTCCGATGACGCTTCCTCAGAACGTTAACTCTGACATTTTTCTCCACAGATGATGCCAGACCTGCTGAGCTTTTCCAGCAACTTTGTTTTTGTTCTTGATGTACAGCACCCGCAGTTCTTTCGGTTTTTATTTGCTTCGTATTGATGGTGGCTTCTATTGGTAGATCATCATCACCCCTCACTGTTGACCACACAAACGACCAATTTACCTTTATTTACGATTAGCAGAGAAAGCTGGTGTGAGTATAAAGTGAGGTTCAAAACACTGCTAGGGTTTGCCATTAGCATTCGTGAATGTAGGCAATTCTACACCATTGTCACAAATTTTTGATATCGGTCATTCAGCACCTTAGCTCGCAAGCAAAATGTTAGCAAAATTACATCTTTATTATGAACTGCATTTTGAACTATAGCATTCTCTACAGCTCTGTGATATTTTACATTTTCCCCACTCCCTCCTAGTCCCTCTGTAAATCTCTGCAGCTCCACAGTAAACATTGATTTAGCATTTCTGATCTGTATGAGCCACAGGGACTCAGCATGAAGGAACTTCTCTTGCTGGGAAAGCAAAGTGTGCTATAACTGCTCTGAAGCCTGCAGGGTCTTTCATTAGTTTCAAATAGAACCTAACTCACTGGGGAGGTCCCTGCTCTGCTTTGATAAGGGATGTTTCTCGTCATCATCTTATGTGCAGACAAAGTCTCTTTTATTGACAGTATTCTCTTTGCTGCTAAAATAATCCTCCAACCATTAACAAAATGCTTTGCCATAGCTGAAATTATTCAGTGGCTGTGTAGATATCCTTTTTTAATGTCGTATTTATGTACATATACATATTCTCAGTACCAAGGTCAGATATGTTTAAATGTACTTTTCATGCCCCATAAATTGGGGATAGATTACTGTGAATAATATTGGTTCATAAATTTCCCATGTAGGGAATTATGCTTTCTGAGGTTTCTTTTTTAAAACTGGAAGTGTTAATCCACAAAAAGAAGGCCCTGGCCAATATTTATCCCTCAACCAGCATCACTAAAAACAGATTAACTGGTCACTTATCTCACCGTTGCTTATGGCTTCTTGCTTTGTACAAATTATTACATATACAACTACAGCTCCTCTTTCAGAAATACCTCACTGATTGTAGAATATCCACAGGCATTGTCACTGATATTAGAAAATGGAGGCATTGTTATGTCATTGTCACCATCTTTGCCTATCTGCCATTCAATTTCTTGTGATTTTCTTCCCCTCCAAAACAAACTGTTAATAAGACAAGGCCACTATTATGAATCATGATCTCAATCATGATGTCCTTCTGTTAGTCACTGTAGCTCTGTGATGATTCATGGTCACACCTTCATGCCTCAGTATATCTCCCAAGTTCCTCAGTAAAACCAACAAATCGTTCTGAGGTGGCAAATACAAGCGAAGTTCATTCTTCTCATTCAAAATGAAAAGTCTCGCCATTAAACTATTAGAGAGGTAAATGGCAAATAAACATTATTATTGTTTGTTCTCCTATTACTGTGGGTGGCATCTTCTGTCCTTTAGAACTCAGGGGGGTGGGGGTGGTAGACTGAACAAGGCATGAGGTGTGATCAGGCTTTTTATGCTCTTCGTTGTTTTGATTTTGTTCGGTGAATTTACACTGTAAGGGTTAAATGGAGATCCTTATAGCAAAAGTGAGAAGACTTCAATGAATGAACCGTCTACAAGATGAATGCTATGAAGTTAGTGTCAGCAGGAATCTGTCAGCAATCTTGCACAAATAGAAGTTGATGTTTACAGAAACATTGTAGGGTGTTTGGGGTGAGGGGAAAGTGGGATGACAGACACTGGTAGGGATTGGGGAAAACAATCACATCTAGGATAAGATTAATTGTTCACTGACTGGGTGAAGGAGACATTTATGATATTAACCTGTGAATTAAAATGGACAATCTGTTTCTTACGTTTGTATGAAGTGAGATTGGAATTTGGATAATGAGATTTTTATAGTATAAAGGTATTCAATCGTTTTAAATTCTTCAGAGTTTTACTGGAATGATGCTCTCTCTGAACCAGTTGAATAACATGATCTTAAACCTGTACTCAATCTCCAGTGGTTGACTATTAGAATTGACAAAAGTGCACATAAAAAAATCATCAGTTTTTCCATCAGTAAGGAATAGGAAATTGATAATCACTCCAAAAAGCATGAGATAAAGAATCAAGTTTCACAAACGTAATTAAATCAAACTTTTTACGTATGAATATTTCTCTTAACCTGCTCAATAGTCTTAACAGAGAGCCTAACAAAGTGAAGGAACTGCAGTTATACATCCTAAATAGATGTGGACTCTTCATGACCAACAGTCTACTGATGTGGAGGTGCCAGTGTTGGACTGGGGTGGACAAGGTCAAAAATCACACAACACCAGGTCCAACAGGTTTATTTGAAAACACAAGTGGTTGGAGCCTCGCTCCTTCTTCAGGTGTTAGTCAGAGAGGTGGCATCAGACACAGAATTTATAAGTAAAACATCAAAGGGTCATGGAACTGATGCAAATGTATTTTTTGCTTATAAATTCTGTGTCTGATGCCAGCTCTCTGACTAACACCTGAAGAAGGAGTGAGGCTCTGAAAGCTTGTGTTTTCAAATAAACAGTCTGCTGACATCACCAATGACATTAGAGGCACTTTTACATTGAGTCCAGTTTGCGGGTCATGATTTCAGGGTCTCCCTGTCTTTTTCTTACAATCTGATAATCTCATACCAAAGTAGCACTTCCCATTTCATTCTCTTTGCATATAGTGCATATGTAGCAGTGCACTTCTTGAGTGCAACTGCCTTTACCTATTCACCGATGTCTATTTAATCTCCCTGAGTACTGACAGTCAACCTCTCCCAACCATAGTAAACCATTGCAAAGCACACACTTCATTTCTTTCCCTTGAAGAAAGGTGTTTGCTCCTGGATTTATGCCCAGGCTTCTGCAGCAAGAGATCTGGAGTTTGAAGGAGCTGCTATTTTCGTTTACAACTTATTTCAGTGTAAAATATTTTATCAAGAAACCAACAACAGTGTTTGTTTCTTTCAGAAACTGTGTGCGCGCGCACACAAACAACAGACTCACACACGAGTGCGCCCACACACGCATGCACGCGCGCACACACACACACACACACACACACAGGGAAAAATATGCACACAAACACGTACAGAGTCATATACATGCAGAGACATAGAGGGGGAGAGAGAGTGACATAAATACAATACAAGGGAACCACATGATGCACCTTCTAATTTTTTATTTTATTAATTAGAAAGTGCTTGTCTATAAGAGAGAGCACACTGCTCAGCGACCAATGAGCAAAGCGTGTAGATTTCAAACCCCAGCCCTTTGCCATCACTTGGACTGGTTATCATTCTGTTTTGAGGACAAAGCAAGACTCTTCCTTTGTTCCCTCTGACTCCAATATTATTTTTGAAGAGACCTTCCAGGGTTGGAAGGCAGCCAACGACATCAAAGACCCCTCCCATCCCAGTTATAATATCTTCCAACCTCTTCTGTCAGGCAGAAAACACCAAAGCTTAAGCACACATACTGACAGTTTCAAGAACAGCTTCTTCCTTGCTGTTCGTCAACTTCTGAATGGACCTCTCCAATTTCAAATCTAATGCTGAGCTTGCTTTTTGTACACCTTCTTGGCAGCCATAACTTTGTATTCCTCTGTTCAATCACCCTATTATCTTTGTGTGTTATGATCAGCCTGCACTGCATAAAAACAAAACTTTTTACTGTCTCTAGGTACATGTGACAATGATAAATCAAATCAAATCATGCCAACACTTAGTTTCACCTTAATACAGCAGGCAGTAAACTTATTACTTACTTTTGACTGTCAGATACATGGACTTGCTGACATCAGCTCCCACATCGTTGCTGACCTGGCAGAGGTAATACCCACTGTCTTCCTCGAGCACATGTTTAATTAGGAGAGACCCATTCACCAGTAGTTGGATGCGACCATTCAGGGCAATTGACTGAAACTGTGGGACACCTGCACCTACAGAGGGAATGGTGCAAAATTAAATGTCACTTTTCCTTAACCCCCTCCTTTGGCTGTACTCAGCAATCTGAACTTTAAATGTCAAATAAACAACAAACATTTTTACATGCCATCATACAGGATCAAAGAGGAGAAAATGGAAATAATTTCAATATATACTAAATCACTTCTAACAATGTGGGGTGGATATCTAGTTCACGATTCATATCTTTTAGAATGCAACTGACAATGTTAAGAATTAAAGTTTTAAGTATAAATAATGGTTCTACTTAGTTGAGAAATTGGCAAAACTAAGACCCACAAGAAAATGCAATTCAAACAACCTTGGAGTTTATTACATCAGTGTTGACTGAACTTGCCGAGTCCTAAAGGGCATAGATGCCTAACTGGGTGTGCAAAAGGTGAGGGCAAAGGAATCAACAAGAGGGAAAAACTAACTTGATCTCGTCGTCATCAATCTGACTTTCATAGAGGTATTGTTCGTGCCAGTATCAATAGAAGTGACCCCTGCACTGACCTTGTGGAAACAAAGTCCTGTCTCAACATTGAGGATGCTCTCCAATGTTCTTGTAGCACTACAGTTACTCTAAATGGGTCAGATGCCAAACAGATCTAGCAACTCAAGACTGGGCTTCCATGAGGTGCCAGACGCCACCAGCAGCAGCCAAATTGTACTGCAATTCAATCTACAACCTCATGGCCCGACATATTCATCAGTCTATCATTACCATCGAATAAGTAGATCAGCTGTGGTTCACTGAAGAGTATCAGAGGCCATAATAGGGACACCGAAAAATGAAGTGTCAACCTGATCAAGCCACAACCCAGGACAACTTGAATGCCAAACAGCATAAGCAGCAGTGATGAACAGGACTAAACAATTCCACAACTGAAAGATCAAATCTAAGCTCTGCAGACCTGCTACATCCAGTTCTGAATGATGGCGAGTAACTAAACAACTTAAGGATGAGGAAGCTCCACGAATATCCCCAACCTCAACAATGGGGGAGCCAAAAGCATCAGGGCAAAATATAAGTTTTGCAGCATTTGCAAGAAGCTTCAGCCAGAAGTGCTGAATGAATGATCCATCTTGGCATCTTCCTCTGGAGGCTCTTAGCATGACAGATGACGGTTTTTATCCAATTTGATTCACTCCACTTGATATAAAGAAATGATTGGAAGCACTGCATGCTGCAAAGGCTATGGGCCCTGACAACATTAAGGCAATGATACTGAAGACTTGTGCTGCAGAACTTGCTGCACCTCTAGCCAAGCTGTTCCAGGAGAGTTACAACACTAGTATCTATCTGACAATGTGGAAATTGCTCAAGTAAGTCCCATACACTAAAAGCAGGACAACCTAGCCAATTACTGTCCCATTAGGCTGCTCTTACTTGTAAGTAAAGTGATGGAAGAGGTCATCAATTGTGCTATCAAGCAGCACTTGCTTCAGGAGAAGCTGTGGCATAATGGTAATGTCACTTCACCAGTAATCCAGAACTTCAGGCTAATTTTCAGGGAACATGAATTCAAATCCTGCCATAGAATTAATAAAATATCTAGAACTAAGAAGTTAATCCAATGCAATGACACAACCACTGCTGAATGTTGTTAAGAACCCATATGGTTCACTAATGCCCTTTAGGGAAGGAAATCTGCCATCCTTACCTGGTCTGGCTGAGATGTGGTTGACTCTTAACTGCCCTCTGGGGAATTAGGGATGGGCAATATGTGCTGGCCGAGCCAGCGACACATATCCCATGAATAATTAAAAAAATTAGCGGCTCACTGACACTCAGGTTTGGGTTCCACCAGGACGACTCAGCTCATAACCTGATTACAGTCTTAGGCCAAACATGGATAAATAAGCTATACTCCATAAGTGAGATAATAATGACTGCTCTTCATATCAAGGCTGTAGTTGACCGAGTGTGGCACTAACTAGCAAAATTAGGGACAATGGTAATTAAGTAGAAGACTCTCCACCATGAACAAAGGAAGGTGGTCATGGTTGTGGGAGGTCATTACAGCTCCAGGACAATTCTCCAGCAGGTTCCTCAGGGCATTTTCTTAGGGCCCAACAATCTGCTGCTGCTTCATCTTTCCATTCATACACACCTTTCCTCCATCATAAGTTCAGATGTGGGCGTGTTTGCTGATGATTGTCCAATGTTCTGCACCATTTGTAACTACTCACATACTGATGGAATTCATGTTGAAATGCAACACCCTAGACAATATCCAGGTTTGGGCTGATAAGTAGGAACATTCATACCATACAAATGCCAGGCAATGGCCATCTCTAACAGGAGAGAATCTAATCATCGCCCCTTAACTTTCAATGGCACCTACCGTCATTGAATACCCCAATATCAACATCTAGGTGGAGGTAATGGATTTACTGTTCTCAGGAAACTGCACTGGACTGGCAATATAAATACTGTGGCAACAAGAGCAGGTCAGAGGTTAGGAATTCTGCATTGAGTAACTCACCTCCTGACTCCCAAAGCTGTCCAAGGCACAAGTTAGGAATGTGATGGAATACTCCCCAGTTCCTGGATGAGTGCATCTCCAAAACACTTAAGAAGTTTGACAATATGCAAGACAAAGCAGTCTATTGATTGGTACCTCATCCACAGATATTCACTCCCTCTGCCATCCATATTCAGTAGCTGCAGCACGTACCAGCTACAAGATGCATTGCAGAAATTCACCATGGGTCTTTAGACAGCACCTTCCAAACCCAACAACCGCTACCATCTAGAATGACAAGGGCAGCAGATACATGGTAACACCACCACCTGCAGGTTCTCCTCCAAGCCATTCCTTCACTGTCACTGAGTCAAAATCTTGAACTCACTCCCTAACAGCATTGTGGATACCCTCAAACCAAATGGGCTGCAGTGGTTCAAGAAGACAGCTCACCAGCAGTTCACCAGGGCAACTAGGGGCAGGTAATAAATGCTGGTCTAGCCAGTGAAACTCACATCTCATGAATAAATTTAAAAAATGAATGCTGGTCTTCCTTAAACAATTCCATCTTCATTCCCCACCTGAGTATCTATTCCAAAAACTGTTTAATCCTTGTATCACATTGCAAAAACAATGTCAGGTAAATCTACCTGCACTCCGCCCCAATAACAAATCTCAGCCTTAAGTTCCTGCAACATGTGGCCATTCTTCAATTGCCAACTTGACGGTGCTGTGGGCTTTCTGAATAACATTGTTAACTCAATGCCAAATGGGGACAAATTGCTGCTGAGGCCAAGCTGCCAGCACAAAGACTGAGATTGTCCAGAGTCAAATGAAGGGTTATGGACCTGCCATGTTAACTCTGTTTCTCTTTCTCCACAGATGTTGCTTGTCCTGCTGAGAATCTCTAGTGGTCTCTGCTTTTATTATTGGAGACAGCCCAAACTCACTTTACAGAAGAAGTCAATGGAGGGGACTTCCATCCTATTATTTCAGGCTGACCACAAATCCGGCTCAGAAACAAAATAATTCAATGGACATGCCAGTCCTGCCTTTAGTATTTTACTGTCAAACATAAATATAAATTAATATAACAGAAACATAACAGTTAATGCTTCCACTGACAGCATCTAAACAATTGGGATGTTTAGCTTTGAATCTGTGTTCAAAATGATACCTTTGGAGTACTTCCATACGATTGTTGGGACAGGATAACCTTCCGCAGAACAGTTCAGTATGACAGATTTCCCATAAATACCATCCTGGTCAGCGGGTTGCACCACAAATCGAGGAGGAACTGAAAGAAATACACATCATAAATAGTGATTAAAATCAAACTGAAATCCACCAAATGGAAATTCGCATTGGGGTCTCTTTGTTCTAGGATATTATTTCAGGTGAGGACACATTTCCTTCAGCAGTGTTACCTCATAGCTACTTCACCCAAATGGTCCTTGCATATTCTCCAAAAGGAAGCATTAGCAACAACACAAACAGGGAACTGGTGCCCATAATCAAATCTGATCCTATGCATACTTAAGCAGACACAAACATCATAGAGAGCAAGAGGAGCAGGAATCCCAACAGTTTTCCTCTTCAATGCACGAAGTCACTCAGACCATCAGAGTAAGACCCTATTTGAAGATATAAATTTCTAAATTAGCACAGGGACGGTAAGAATTTATAGGCGCAGGAGAGAGGGAGCTGAATTGTGAGTAAGGATGAAATTTCTACTTTCAATTAAATTCCATTTTATAGTTAATAGTAGGTTAAAGTAAGTAAAGTAACTCAAACTTTTAAGTTTAAGGTATGGCAATCGGCCAAGCAGAATATCCGCCCTGTGGTAAGTCGTGGACACTTCACTTGACACAGAGCAGCCCATGTGTATGTGGCTGCATTAGCTTGAGCTCTGGGATTCAAAGCTCATGTAGCAGCGAGAGTGAATGAGATGCACCTATGAGGCAGGGACCTCCACGGATAGCACATTCAGAGAGGTCAGCACACTGTAAGTTAGAGGAAAACAGGCAGATGGAGAATTGATAACTGCTAGGCAGTCCACAAAAAACTGGTAGGTAGTGCGAGGCCAGAGGTACCGCTCACTCGTACAGCAACAACCAAATTCTGGCACCACAGGAGACCCAGATGCACAGGAGAGGCATCTGAAGAATGGAAGGGTATACAGATCCAGGATTCTTTATTTCGGAGACCAGACAGGCATTTCTGTGTCTTGTGACTCCAGAATTGTCTGTACTGTTCCTGGTGCTGAATGCCTTAGAACAGCTGCAGGGCATTCTTATGGGTAAGGTGAACAGTCTGAGGTAATAGTCAACCTTGGTACTAACAAATTTGCTGGGAAGGTGGATATGGTCCTGCAATTAAAATTTAGGAAGCTAGAACATAGAACATAGAACATAGAACATTACAGCGCAGTACAGGCCCTTCGGCCCTCGATGTTGCGCCGACCTGTGAAACCAATCTGAAGCCCATCTAACCTAAACTATTCCATTATCATCCATACGTTTATCCAAGGACCATTTAAATGCCCTTAAAGTTGGCGAGTCTACTACTTTCGCAGGCAGGGCATTCCACGCCCTTACTACTCTCTGAGTAAAGAACCTACCTCTGACATCTGTCCTATATCTATCACCCCTCAATTTAAAGCTATGTCCCCTCGTGCTAGCCATCACCATCCGAGGAAAAAGGCTCCCACTGTCCACCCTATCATCCTCTGATCATCTTGTATGTCTCTATTAAGTCACCACTTAACCTTCTTCTCTCTAACGAAAACAGCCTCAAGTCCCTCAGCCTGTCCTCATAAGACCTTCCCTCCATACCAGGCAACATCCTGGTAAATCTCCTCTGCACCCTTTCCAATGCTTCCACATCCTTCCTATAATGCGGCGACCAGGACTGTACGCAATACTCCAAGTGCGGCCGCACCAGAGTTTTATACAGCTCCAACATGACCTCATGGCTCCAAAACTCAATCCCTCTACCAATAGAACCTAACACACCGTACGCCTTCTTAACAACGCTATCAACCTGGGTGGCAACTTTTAGTGATCTATGCACATGGACACCAAGATCTCTCTGCTCATCCACACTACCAAGAATCTTACCATTAGCCCAGTACTCTGTATTCCTGTTACTCCTTCCAAAGTGAATCACCTCACACTTTTCCGCACTAAACTCCATTTGCCACCCCTCAGCCCAGCTCTGCAGCTTATCTATGTCCCTCTGTAACCTGCAACATCCTTCTGCACTATCCACAACCCCATCGACTTTGGTGTCTTCCGCAAATTTACTAACCCATCCTTCTACGCCCTCATCCAGGTCATTTATAAAAATGACAAACAGCAGTGGCCCCAAAACAGATCCTTGAGGTACACCACTAGTAACTGAACTCCAGGATGAACATTTCCCATCAACCACCACCCTCTGTCTTCTTACAGCTAGCCAATTTCTGATCCAAACCGCTAAATCACCCTCAATCCCATGCCTCCGTATTTTCTGCAATAGCCTACCATGGGGAACCTTATCAAACGCTTTACTGAAATCCATATACACCACATCAACCGCTTTGCCCTCATCCACCTGTTTGGTCACCTTCTCAAAGAACTCAATAAGGTTTGTGAGGCACGACCTACCCTTCATAAAACCATGTTGACTATCCCTAATCAAATTATTCCTTTCTAGATGATTATAAATCCTATCTCTTATAATCCTTTCCAACACTTTACTCACAACCGAAGTAAGGCTCACTGGTCTATAATTACCAGGGTTGTCTCTACTCCCCTTCTTGAACAAGGGGATAACATTTGCTAGTCTCCAGTCTTCTGGCACTATTCCTGAAGACAATGACGACATAAAGATCAAAGCCAAAGGCTCTGCAATCTCCTCTCTAGCTTCCCAGAGAATCCTAGGATAAATCCCATCCAGCCCAGGGGACTTATCTATTTTCACACCTTCCAGAATTGCTAACACCTCCTCCTTATGAACCTCAATCCCATCTAGTCTAATAGCCTGTATCTCAGTATTCTCCTCAACAACATTGTCTTTTTCCTGTGTGAATACTGACGAAAAATGTTCATTTAGCGCCTCTCCTATCTCTTCGGATTCCACGCACAACTTCCCACTACTGTCCTTGACTGGCCCTAATCTTACTCTAGTCATTCTGTTATTCCTGACATACCTATAGAAAGCTTTAGGGTTTTCCTTGATCCTACCTGCTAAAGACTTCTCATGTCCCCTCCTGGCTCTTCTTAGCTCTCTCTTTAGGTCCTTCCTGGCTAACTTGTAACTCTCAAGTACCCTGACTGAGCCTTCACGCCTCATCTCTACGAGGTAGAAAATTACCAAGCAACACCTCTAAAATCGTAATCTCCTGATTGCTCCCAGTGCCACATGCAATTAAGCACAGAAATAAAAAGATAAGGCAGTTGAATACGTGGTTGGAAAGAATACATGCAGGAAGAAGGGCTTTAGATTCCTGGGACACTGGGACTGACTGTGGGGGATATGCTACCAGTACAAGCCGAATGAGAGCTGTTTAACAAGTGCTATAGGGGAGTGTTTAAAGTAATTAAGCAGAGGTGTGGGAGCCAGGAGAGAGCATTAAGAAGTATTGCCAGCATGCTGGGAAAGACAGATAGCACTGAAGTCGGAGTAAGGGAGAAAGCAATGAAGTGAACTCAACTGCATGTATATGCAAGTACTGAGTAGATATTTTTTAGACAACCTGTTCAGATATGTTATGGCACACCTCTGAAGCAGGTGGGACTTCACCCTAGGTTGTTTGGGTCAAAGGTAGGAACAATCCCACTCCCACTGTACCACAACAGCCTCAATGCATATAACATTGGGGAATTCACCACATGGGAATATAGCACCACGATGATGACAGAGACTGTATTTGAAGGAAGAGCAGATATAGAAGATAAAAACTCCTGGTTACAAGGTATTCAGAAAAGATGAGGAGGGGTGATTTTATTGGTTTTGGAGAATATCACTGTACTGGACAAGGTGTTTGTTTCAGAGGGTTAGAGGACAGAATTGGCATCGCTAGAGCTAAGCAGTAAACATGTGCAGTTACATTGTTTAGTGTAATTGATAGACTACCAACTCGTGGGAAGGATCCGCAGGAATAAATAGTAAGGGAAATTACAGAACTCTATAAGGGGGCATGAGAAAACCTTGGCAGATAGAATCAAGGAAAACTCCAAGGCTTTTTACACGTATGTGCAGAACAAGAGATGACCAGAGAAAGGGTAGGGCCGATCAAGGATTGTAAAGGGAATTTGTGCACAGAGCCGAAAGAGATAGGAGAGGTCCTTAATGAATACATTTCTTCAGTATTCACAACTGAGAGGGACCTAGTTGTAGAGGAGGACATTGTGAAACAGGCAGGTAGGCTAGAGGAGGTTGATGTTAGTAAAGAAGATGTGCTAGGAATTCTGAGGAAGTTGAAGATAGATAAGTTCCCCGGGCCTGATGGGATTTATCCAAGGATTCTATGGGAAGGGAGGGACGAGATCGCAGGGCCTTTGCCGATGATCTTTTCGTCCTCACTGTCCACGGGTATAGTGCCGGAAGATTGGAAAGAGGCAAACGTCATTCCCTTGTTCAAAAAAGGGAACAGGGATAACCCCGGAAATTACAGACCAGTTAGTCTTACGTCAGTGGTGGGCAAATTATTGGAAAGGGCTCTGAGACACAGGATTTATGACCATTTGGAAAGGCACAGTTTGATTCGTGATAGCATGGATTTGTGAGGGATAGATCATGCCTCACAAACCTTATTGAATTCTTTGAAGAGGTGACCAAACACGTGGATGAAGGTAGAGCAGTGGATGTGGTATACATAGAGTTAAGTAAGGCGTTTGATAAAGTTCCCCACGGTAGGCTCATGCAGAAGATAAGGAGGCATGGGATAGGGGGAAATGTGGCAGATTGGATTCAGAATTGGCTGATCCTTAGAAGGCAAAGGGTGGTAGTGGACGGAAAATATTCAACATGGTGCTCAGTTACGAATGGTGTACCACAAGGACCTGTTCTGGGTCCTCTTCTATTTGTGATTTTTGTAAATGATTTGGATGAAGGTGTGGAAGGGTGGATTAGCAAGTTCGCGGATTATACGAAGGTGGGTCACGTTGTGGACAGTGCGGAGGGCTGTTCTAGGTTACAAAGGGACATTGATAGAATGCAGAGCTGGGCTGAGAAGTGGCAGATGGAGTTTAACCCTGAAAAGCGTGAGGTGATTCATTTTGGAAGGACAAACTTGAAAGCAGAATACAGGGT